GCAATTAATTAAGATCCGTTCGGATCATGGGACCGAATTTGACAAAATGCTCTTTGATACATTCTGCCAAGAACGAGAAGTGGTAGAACCGAGAAATAGAACACTGAAAGATATGACTAGAACTATGTTCATCTGTAGTGGTCTAGCAAAGAATTTATGGGCAGAAGCTCTAAACGCGGAGATTTCACCAATTCCATGAGAAAGGGGGAACTAATCATGAAACCAATTGCCCACGAGGAGACATGAACATGAACTGATGATAACATGCTTAGAACTGAGGATGTACCCAGTCAATCCACTGCCAACCAGACTGAAGAACAGGCAGATCCAGTTCCAGACGACTCGCATGAAATTGAAGACTATTCAAATGCTCCTAGAGGATGGAAACATCATCGATCACATCCTTTGGATAACCTCTTGATTAACCTAAATCAGGGAGTAACTACTAGATCTAAACTTAGAAATTTTTATTCCTTCTTTGCTTATCTATCACTTATAGAACCGGAGAACCATGAAGTGGCTCTCTCCGAAGCTGACTGGTTCTAGCAATGCAGGAAGAACTAAATCAGTTCGAGAGAAATAAAGTGTGGCATCTAGAACCGAGACCCAAGAACAAGACCAAGATAGGTCTCAAATGGGTATTCAAGAACAAGCTTGATGAACATGAGCAAATATAGATGGAACTTGGGTTCATCAAGGCATGAACTATCTTTCCTGAATTTATCTCTTATCTTTTATCTTTCAAGCTATTTATTGTTTTGTTGGTGACAAAAGGGGGAAGAATATGTGCCCTATGTGTTCTATGCTCGATACTTTGGGCTTATTCATTATGAAACTAACTTTAGGGCACCAAGTGTTTGTCATCAACAAAAAGGGGGAATTTGTTGGAACATATTGTTTTGTTGATGACAAACGACTAGTGTTACTTTTGGTTGTAAGTGACTACATGAAAAGAGTTTAAGTCGTGCTCTGGAACAAGCCGTAGAACTGGTCCGAGAACTGCACCGTAAATCCAAGATTGATTAATCCGGCTTGCTTAAAATATCTTTTCTCTCCATTTAATTTCGGATCTATCTTGCTAAATTAAAGAGAACCTTTTAAGCAAGAAAATAATCAATGATCATACAAAGAAAGGATTTTTTCTTTAAAGGAAAGTTATTTAAATCAAAGGCATTAATTAAGAGATCTTTCTACAAAGCAAGTTTCCAAAATAATTGTTGTTATTCAAAATTCAAAAAGGATTTTCGTGCATATCCTCTCACAAGGAATGTTTCCTTAAGAAAAATGATTTCCTTCAATCAAATAAAAAGAATATCTTTTAATACCTATAAGGAAATATTTTTGAATGATTTCCATGCAAGAGGACCGAAATATATATGGAGATCCGAGCTATTAAAGATAGTACATCAAGTCCTGATCTTGCCCATCTAAGAAGACCGATCTCAAAGGAAAGAATCTGTTGAGTATGTAGTTTTATTAATGACTAACTATGCAGGTGGAACAGCGGACGGAACCGCTCTCAGTTCCATACGGAACGGAAGAAAAAATTATTCTTAATTCTATTTTGTGTGAACGGTTGATTTACATGGTGTATGATTTAATTAATATGTGCTTTCCTTATATGAGTGCTTATACTTTGTCAAGAATATTATTTTAAGCAAAAATATATTTTCATGCATGACTTACTATTATAGCTTATTATTTTATGGAAAGAATCTTTAATTGATTAGCTAGTTGATTGTGCATACCTATTAAACAAATATTCTCCTGCATATTATTCTCCGTTGCATGCTTGCATAGTTTAAGTGAATAAATTAATTCCCTTGATATGTATTGATATATATCTTTGTGGAATTGTTACTAAATGGTTGATCACATAATATGCTCTATACCTTTTTGACTTGCTCATGATATGCACGTATCCTCCTGCTCCCATATATATATGGTTGACCAAGGACCATCATAATTAAGAGCTAGAAGATCCTTAAATAAAAGGAAAGCATTTTGAATAATTTCAAGGCAAGTTCCTCAACCATTCAAGGAAAGAAGTGTTCTCAACGGATCCATTCCTAGTAGACTATATAATCGAGATCAAGAAGAAGAAGCAGTGTGTGCTTGACCAAGAAAACATCAAGAGAGATACTCGAGAGAAATACAAAGTTCAAGGCACCTGAAACTGCTCCCGGAGTTCTAGACAGAGTTCTTATTCTCTTCCTATATTGTAATTGGGTTATTGAGGATTAGCTAAGTGTAGCTTCCTCGGGTTGGGTAACGTGTGTTGTGAGAGCTTTGTTGTAAAGCTGAGAGGCTCTCTACCCGCAAGGTAGAGAAGCGTAACTCTTCCTAGAGAGGATAGAGTTGGGGTGGCTCAAGGGTAGACTAGGAGAGTTTCCCTTGTAATCATTCAAAGGCTTTTTAGTGAAGTTGTTAAAATTCCTCCGAGGGAGGTCGAGGTTTTTTAATCCCTTTGAGCCAAGGGATTTTTCCTCGTTAAATCCTTGTGCACTTTACTTTTCGCAATTCCCTTTACCCCGCACTAGAACTGGGCGAAAAACTGCCACGGTTCCACACACACACAATTCACCCCCCCTCTTGTGTTGCTAACCGTTTTCATCATTGTTTATATATATATACAAAGCGCAATTATCTTCTAAAAATCATTTGACTACCTTCTCGATTAAATTTTTAGCTGAAATTTGATACGGATAAACTAGACTTGATGAAGAACGTAACGTGCTCAAAATATTTCATCAAAAAAAATTGACCGAGAAGTGCTAGAAATGCCCTCGGCTGGACGGCGGCTCCCGTCAAGCCGAGTGGACAGGAATGAGACTCATTACGTAGATTCATTTAAAGTTACAAATGTATTACTCCGTATTATAAACTTGCATCAGTAGGGCAGGGGCGGGCAGGGCAGGGTAGTCAAGTAATTAAGAATTACAACTTACAAGTATGATAAATATATACTTTCTCCGTTCCTTTTTAGTTGCAACAGTCAACATTTAACACTTGCGAACGCACATATTTGACCGTAATTATATCTTAATCTCTATTCGTAAAAACAATTAAAAACAGATTTTGAAAATTTGTAATGAGATGAATTGGACAATATTTTTTAAAAAATAGGAGTAATTCTCATAAAATAATAGCGTAAAATGTAGTTAAAATAGAACATGTGAATATTGCAAAATTCAACATGTTGCGATTAAAAAAATAGAGGATAGTAAGTACTACTTTCTAAATGTTACTCACAATTTTGTAAAATAAAAAATTAATTATATACGGGGTACGAGTATTTATTTTTCAAAAAAAAATGGAGAGGTAATACTCGTATTTTAAATAGGAAAAAGAATAAGTTATTCGGCATGGTTCTGGTAAACTGTCTTTTCAATTCGGTGACTCACCTAATTTTTATACTACCTCACTAACTTAAAGAGGATATGAATTATTGAGGGTATGATGAGAAAATAATGGAATAATGTGATGGAATGTGGGATAAATCCCCAAAAAATAGTTGTAATAGTGTATTATTTTAAGAATTATTGAGGGTATGATGAGAAGATTTAGAAATAAGACTTTTTTTTGTTACGGAAGAAAAAGAAAAGTGGGAAGATTTTTATGTTAGGAAGGAAGTAGTAACGGTATGTCATACTCCGTATTTCATAAATTATACGGTGCAACCGGCGTACCATGCGCATGGTATGCCGGTTGCTAATATGGTACCATTTTTTGCTTTTCTCATGCTTCCAAAAGTCCAAAGCCTAAATTACGGAAGTATTCTTTCTACGAGGTAAGTACTTCCTTTTTCTTTATTGTTCTTTTCTATTTTTTTTTAATTCTTTTCTCTTTAACATCAAATACTAAAAATTTATTTGTGATTTTACTTATCTTTATCTTTAACTAATTAAAATATAAATGAATTTACATTTTTTCTTTACCAAAATATTACAAAATTTTATTAATCCACATAAAATAAGTGTATTGTAATACATTTTATATTTTATTAATCCACATAAAAAGCATATTTTATTAATCCACATAATAATTGAATCTATTTTTTTTTATTCTCTATCAATGCATAACAAAAGTTTATAAATCTAAATAAAATAAGTATATTCCATCATTCAGCTCCTAGACAATGAAATCACATCTTCTTCTGCGCAAGTTACATATTAATGTACGCGAGTTAGATCTAAATATACGTGAGTTACATCTTAATGTATGTGAGTTACACCACTGAATAAACTCTAGTTATATCATTTTTATTGCCCTAATATTAAAAATAAAACATATTCACTATTTATAAAAAGAAATTAAGCTATTAGGATCAATTTTTCATTGTTTACATTGAAATCAATGTTTATAATATCTCAAACACAAAAAAAAAATCATTGTTCAACTTTCCAACAAGTTACATTCTGTATACACCCAAGCTACATTTGGCATCAATGTGAGTTACATTTGTAATAATACGAGTTACATTAAAAAATCAACCCCCGCTATTGAAACAAAAAAAAATGATTTTTTCTAAAAAATTATTTTTTATAGCCATGATATTAAAAACAAAACATATTCCCATTTTACCTAAAACAATTGTGTAATTAGACTCTCTTTTTTCATTATTTACATTGAAATCAATATTTGACAAGTTACATTATGGATGGGCTTGAGTTACATTAATCAATAACGCGAATTACATATCTTTACATGCACGCGAGTTACACCATCTATGTTACTGGGACAAAAAAAAAGTCACTGCACACGTGTGTACTGTTCACGCGTGTACTATTCATGCGTTTTTTTTAAATTGTCCAAAACTACGTCGTTTTGGGAGTGAGAGTACGGTGCTCATGGTGGGACGATTGTATGGTATACCAACTGGTATTTCATTGATTTGTTGTAATAAACAATGGCGGGCCAGAAATCCAGACCCGGATTCATTCATTCAAATACCGGTACGCTTTGTATTCCCTCCCTTTATTATCCTTCTGTTTTATCATATCAGCTGTATACATAAACAGCGGTCGTCCCTTTTCCTTCGTTGCCTAGTCTGAGCTGAGACTCTTCGTCTACTCCGACATTACTCCAGTCGTCATCAAACAATGCTCATTTCTTCCTCTTCTTAGTATATATATATCCTTTTGCCTTCTTCTTCTCCTTCTCCCTAACCCGTTCATGCGCTTAGATAGATTCAAACATTGGCCACGATGAACATCAAGGCGTTACCGTGTCATGTTTCAATCTTCTACGATAGGAACCGTCCGTTTCAGGATATCCTTCCTCGACCAGGACCCGTCAAAGTTAACTTGCATCAGCGAACTCCTCCTGGCTCCACAAGTCTGAAATTCAGGGTGCTCTGCGATTTAACTGTAATTTTACTCTGTAGTCTGTACCTTCCTCTTTGCATCTCCTGGTGCCTATTTTAGTATCTGGATTTTACTAGAAACACTTTTTATGAAATTTCGAAGCCATACTATTTGTTTTGGAAGAATTGCGTAAAACTTAATTGGTTGTTAGTATCTGATTATTTGAGTATGACAGGATCTTAAGTTTTATTTAGTACTTGAATTTATATCATTGGCACTTCGGTAACTGTTTCAACCTCCTACTATAGGAACACTGAACCGTCCATTTCCTGACCTGCATTACCTTATCTCAGTAAACCATTACATTTTCAAATGATATAACATATCAATAAAACATTTATTGATATCATTAAATTGATATATAACATAATAATTCCAATTTGTCAGTATTTGTATTGGTTATTTGTCATCCATAAGCTCCTATGTCATGATATTTGAGAGTTAAGAGTGCATTTGTTTTCCTTTAAATGATGTCAAATTGTCAAGTACTACGTATGTGATCATATGAGCAAGGGATTGTTCAAATCAGCAAAGCCATCTTTTTTTAGGAGGTGCAATATGTTCTTGGCACCGGGGCCCACTCTTATAGGGGGTCTCCAAATATTTAGAACGTTAAACGTAGTATTAGTTATAGGTTGATTTTTCTACATGTTATGCACTATTCAAGATTTCAAAAGATATAGAGTTCAAAAGGTATGTCACTTTTAGATTCTCTAATTTGTGTACTTTAGACATCATAAAACTTATATTTCATTGAACTGTTAAGTTTAATTGTATTTCGTTGTTAAAATTTGTTTTTTTTTTCTTGTTTTAGGGGCCTCAATTTGTCATTTGAAACCGGGACCTCCAAATTCATTAGACGGCCCTGCAAATCAGTGTGCTCTGTAAAAATGGACTTTTCCAAACAACTCATGCAGTCCTCCTTTTGATCTCAAGTTACAAATTAACTAAGCATTGTTTTGTGGAGCAGTTATTTGCTTCACATCAAACTTTTTTTATATTAAGCTAGCTTAAGCAAAATCATGTCCTTAATTGAGGAATACCAGCTTTGCATGCTTCCTTTGTTCCACCATGGCCTCTAAATTACAATATCGTCTTTTTGGAGTTCAAATGCTTTATTGATATGTTATATCATTTGAAAATATAATGGTATACTGAGATGAAGGTAATGCAGGTCAGGAAATGCTCTCCTGTTTTGGAGAGCACACTGTTGTCAAGGAATGAATTACTGCAGTCTTCGGAATTGATAACAGTTCCTGATATCTGGAAGGCAGCAGCAGACAAGTTTGGTGATCGTGTAGCATTGGTGGACCCTTACCATGATCCGCCAACAAAGCTGAGTTATAGGCAGGTCAACAGCTTTTCCTTTTGATATCTGTGTTTTAATATTACGGAGTACTATATATGATTGTCTGATAAATATTCATCATGCTCAAGGAACTTAATTGAAACAAGTAAGATAAAGTATTGCATGGATTTAATCCTTGTAACTTACATTATGTGAGAGTGTATCTTGTTGACTTGAAAGTCTGGAACATATTTGTAGAATAGTGAGTTTTTTAGCTGCTAATTCAAATGTTCATTATGTTTACATTAGATTCGTTTTCCATTTCAAGTAATTGATGATCTTTTAGACTATCTCACATGTAAATGCATAGAGTTATTGGTGAAGTATTTGGTTGAGATTTTTAAAAAGTTCACAGTTTTTGCGTCTGCCAAATCTTAAGTGAGTGGTGTACCTTTACCTTTAATGAACTAAGTCCTCTATTTCATTAGAGCAAGTATCAGCGGATTTAATGCTTTGAGTTCCTTGTCAATGAGATACGTGACATATTTTCACCTTTCAAAATTGATATTAATTAAATATACTGATGGGTGTTAAGACTTCAATTTGTATGAACTCCTTCTAGTTATCAGTTTATTGTAAAAGAAAATGGAGTGCTGTATATATTTTTAAAAATACTTGATCTCAATCATGATTTTATCCTTGTTCATGTTTTCGTTGTTTTAAGTTTAGCTAGAGAAGGAAATTTTGAGCTTTGCTGAGGGTCTAAGAGTTGTTGGCTTAAAACCTGATGAGAAGATTGCACTCTTTGCTGAAAATTCCTGCCGTTGGCTTGTTGCAGATCAAGGTAAACTCTCTCTCTATATATATAGATGACATCGTATAAGGAGTGAGAGCTATTTGGTGATTTTAGCATTTTAGCTCTTCTCAACGTGTGCAAGACATCCTAATTTCTAAACTTCCTCCTAATTTTTTTGGTTGCATTTAATTCTCTTGCTTAATATTTACGGAGTTTTACACACTCTCTCTCCATATTTCTCATTTTTCTTTAGTACTCCGTATACTTTTTTCCATTTCTTTTAAATTTGACTTTATTCCTTACACATTACGTACATCCTAAATTTTATGTTCTTATATTTTTAAAAATTAAAAACTCAATGTTTATTAATTACAATAGCCAAGGTATGGAGTTCTACAGATCAATTCGAGTACATTTTAAAAAAACATTAAAGGATTCATAGTCAATGAAAAATAACATACTTGCACTTGTTGCAAGTGTCTCAACAACTATAATTTGAGTCCAATTATATTTTGTATGTATAAGATACACTTTTACTTGATGAAAGTGCACTTATATGTGCATTGAGAATGCACTACTCAGATGTTGATTTACAATATTGTAAATCATCCCATATGCAACATTTTAGCTAAAGTTGTACAAATTAAAACTCATATTCAATTACTAAAGGCCATGCATTATGAATGTATCAAATGTGTAAAAAAAAATCAAATGTGCAAAAGGATTTTGAGGAGGATAACACATACTTATAAGAGATCTCTATATAATGCACATTGAATTTACTTTTGTGCATCATAAATTTATTAATAGTGCATAATTAAAAATAGAAAAATTAAAGCTTAACTACAATAAAATGCACGTATATTGTGTAGGTGTGCGTAAAAAAATAAGATCAAATGGACTAACAAAGTGCCCTTATATATTAAACGTTAAGCAGTCATGATTATTGTACATATATAAAATAGATATCAAGAAGTGCATTTAATACTAGAAAAAGTGCATTTTATAAAATTGCTAATTAACTAAATAGAAAAATCACGATTTAATTAAGTCTAATGCACTTTTTTTTTTGCAAAATTAAGTCTAATGCACTTATTAAATCGAGTTACACAAGATTTAGTATGTTGCAATACTTTTACTCAACAAATTCATGCACGGTGCATTATTACTATTAAGTAATTGCACTATTAAATGTTATTATGGATCATCCTATGCAACTATTGCACTATAATGTTTAATATGTCACACCGCAGAAGTTATATCTTATTAAAATGCTATATAAATATTTTCTTATGCACATAATTCACTTATCTCTTAAATATTACTTAGTTAATCACATATGCACAAATTAACTATTCAAAATGCACATTTTAGACGAATATCGACACATGCACTTTATCAATAATGCATTGCACGTTTTGCTCATTCGTAAATGAAATTACTTTAATTTGAATCACACTTACGTAAAAAAGTGTATATATAGAGAAAAATAATTAAAATACCCCAAACTTCAAAGGGGTGTGACATAAACACCCCCAACTTTCATATGTAATTAAAATACCACAAATTTTATATAACAAGTTATTTTAGCACCATGATCATGTATTATTTATTTCAAAAATGTAAATTGGTGGTGTTAATTGCATAATTTAAAATAGCAAATTGAAAACGTTGCAATTATATAGAGTGTGGGGTGATACTATTTATTTCACAATTAAAGTTTAGAATGTTAATTGTATCTTCATTAATGCTAAAATAATTTAAATTATGAAACTAGTACAAAAAAATTAACATTTTTGAAAGAAATAATACATGACCATGGTCCTAAAATAACTTTTTATATAAAGTTTGGGGTATTTAAACTACATATGCAAGTTTAGGGTGCTTACCTCACACCCCTTCAAAGTTAGATATTTTATTTATTTTTCCCTATACACACATATCTTTTCCCCACACATGTTGTGAGTGTGCAGTCTTTATTCACAACTATTACTATGACCTTTGAAACTTTTTCACTACTTTAATGTTTGCAATCTTACATGCTTTTACACCCTCATAATACAGGGATGAACTAAGTAAGGCTACTTACGTGACTTTGGCTCTGTTTGCAAACCCAACTGAGAAGTGCTTTTAACTTTTTTAAATGATTTGGTAAAAAAGTGATTAATAGTAAAAGTTGGTAGTGTTTGAGAAAAAAGTGATTTTGAAAAGTAAAAGTTGGTGGTGTTTGGTAAAATAAGTGCTTTTTGTGTAATAGAAAAAGTGAAAAGCAGATTCTAGCTTTTAGCTTTTAAGTGATTCATTTAAGTAGAAGTTGTCATTTGAAAACATCTTTTTTAGCTTTTTTAAGCCAAAAGCTGGGAAGTGCTTTTTTAGTTGTGTTTGCAAACAGAGCCTTTATGATTACATCGCTTGCATAGATTTAGAAACCCGATGTACGTGTCACATACTCTCTTTGTATTTTAAAGATGGTTACATATGGCTTTGACGCATTATTTAAGGATTAAAGTGGCAGGGTAATGAATAGCGTAAAAAAAGCAGGAGAGAAGTTGTAAAAGTATGAAAGAGAAGATAAAAAGTTGAAAAAATGTTAAATGTTCCACACTGGAAAAAGTTTGGATCAACAAAGTGCTATAATAACACATGGGCTACTCCTCCTATCAGGTTGACCGTTTAGGATGGAATCCCAGGTCTTAACATGGTATCAGAGCTAAATCGATCCATGGTGTGGGCCCCCTTATGAGAAAATGACGGCATGATTATAAAAACAAATATGACAATTACGAACCGATGAAAAACTGAATGACGGCACGATTCAGACGAAGTGTCTGGTCGTGAGTAGGGGTATTAAATGTCCCACACCGGAAAAAGTTTGGATGAACAAAGTGTTATATTAACACATGAGTTACACCTCCTATCAGGTTGACTTTTTAGGATGGAACCCCGGGTGTTAACAAAATATAAGGGTAATTGAGTATTTTTAAAGGGAAAACTTACTAAAAGAAAGAAATGTAGCAAACTTTAAAATATGGAGGGAGTAGTGCAAAATGAAAATTCTCTTATTCAGAGATACATAATGAATCCTTTAGGTATAATGACCACTGGAGCAATTGATGTGGTGCGCGGTTCAAGGTCATCCACCGAAGAGCTTTTGCAAATATACAATCACTCTGAGAGGTTAGCCCTCATGTATTAGACAGTACTGTTTGCTAAAACTTATTTGCTTCATTTATGAGTAAATATTACTACGTACCAATTTTCTCTATTTCATTGTGTTTCTAAACTCATTAGGAATAGTACTATGTTGAGGTCTTCCCTGCATGTTTTTCATTCTTAATCTATATAATATTTGAAATTAATGCAATGATTTCTTGTTACTATAATTTCAGTGTTGCACTTGTTGTCGATAATCATGAAATGTACTCTCGAATTGCAAAAACCTTCCACTCATTAGCAAAAGCAAGATTTGTCATATTACTTTGGGGGGAAATGTCGAGTATAACAAGTGACGGAATAGACGGACTCCCCATATACAGCTATTCAGAGATCATAGATTCAGGAAATGAGAGTCATCTATCATTGATGCATTCAGAAGAAGGTAGTAAGTATTTTGTTGGAAATAGTATGCTTCTAAGGATCCTTTATAAGTTTAAATATACATGATAATTGTAGTATGTCTTTTGACCGTTTGTGGAGAAAAGATCATTCATAGCTAATGCAACTGCAGGTAAGCAGTATGTATATGAACCAATCAACTCTCATGATGTTGCCACACTTATCTATACTAGTGGAACTACAGGCAACCCAAAAGGAGTTATGCTTACACATAATAATTTGCTTCACCAGGTTGCCATCTTTTAAATTTAAAACTTAATACTATAGTAATTATTAAAGTATTTGTCTCACACCGGAAAGTTATAAAACATTAAAACACTATACAAGGCTATCAGCTACTCCTCCTATCAGGTTGACCTTTTAGGATGGAACCCCGGGTCTTAACATGGTACCAGAGCCAATTTCGGTTGTGGTTTTACTCCTTGTTTAGCACCCATGATTACGGGTAGCTTGTTAAGGGTCTGTTTGGCCCATTTATACACCCCAGTATTGTCCGGCCCGGTTCAGGCTGAGGGGGGCGCGTTGAAGTATTTGTCCCACATCGGAAAGCTATAAAACAATAAAACACTATATAAGGCTATCGGCTACTCCTCCTATCAGGTTGACCTTTTAGGATGAAGTCCCGGGTCTTAACAATAATATAAGGGCAATGCTTTAAATTTGGTCTTATACTCTTATACGTAGTAATAACTAAAATTTATCCATATAGATGTTGTATTGTAATTACCTTCTGCTAAGGTTGCAATCTCTGGATCAGAGTTAGAGGTGCATTTGTGTGAAATTCCTTCTACAAGTGTTTTGTTATTCAATAGTTTTATATAACAATAGTAGTAATAATAATTATGATTGAAGAATACATGCTTCCTTTCTTCAGCATTATTGGATCTGGTAATTGTACATTTTTCTATGGAAGTGTTTCCCGGCGCACGTGCATGAATCAAAACCTTGTGTTCTCTTCGTAGGTTTTGAATTTCTGGGATTGTGTACCTGTTGTTCCTGGAGATAGATTCCTCAGCGTTCTTCCTCCATGGCATGCATATGAACGTGCATGTGAATATTCAGCTCTTGCTTTTGGAACTGAGCAAGTATACACTACTGTCAGACACTTGAAGGCATGTGGTACTGCTATACTGCTATATTCTCTTATGCATTATAAAGGTGTCCTTTTTAAAATTGACCTACTATGACAAAATTACAAAATATGGAAGATTTATTTGTGGTTCTGATTCGGTTTATATATATATTTTAGGAAGATTTGAAAAGTTATCAGCCAAATTATCTTGTATCAGTCCCTTTGATATATGAGACATTATACAGGTAAATCTAGTGCGGTTATCCTTGTTTTTTATACCTATTCACTTCAGATTTGTATTAGTTTGCCGTGGAATTGCAGTGCTACTTTGAAGAATGTTGTGCTAAAGCATTTAAGACACTAAACAAAATGCATGCATAGGAAATCCCTTTGATCCACCTGTCTGATACATCGTGTGATCCAAGTTCCGAAAAAGAACTTATGAAGACTCGTCTGTTTTCATGTAATCCTACTTTCATCGTCTTTATTTTATTTTGTTCACCTTGCAGTGGGATTATGAAACAGATTAATGCAAGTGGTAGGTATCGTAAGCTCATTGCCTTGATATTTCTGAAGATCAGTTATGCCTACAAAGAGTTCAAAAATATTTATAAGGTATGACCGCAACATTTAGATTTTATCAATATTTTAGCTACAGTTAACGTTGTTGGATATTCTTGATTGACTTTTAACTTCTATGTTTCAGGGTAAATGCTTAACACAAGATCAGAAACCGCCTTCTTTTCTTGTGTCAGCTTTAGACTGGTTATTGGCTAGATCCATTGCTGCTCTATTGTGTCCATTGCATATCTTTGCAAAGAAATTATTCTACACTAAAATTTGCTCAAATATTGGTATATCCAAGGTATATGCCTCCAATACTTCGACCTCTTTTCTTTAAAAAGTTAAGGAATCAGGGTTGATTTTGTTTTTATTTTTTGCAGGCTGGAATAAGTGGAGGTGGTAGTCTTCCTATACACGTTGACAAGTTTTTTGAGGTTATATACTTTTATTTTTATGAATATACCAAAGTTTGGATTGCTTTCTAGTTTCTAATTCAAGATGTGATATCATCTAGGCAATTGACATAACTGTACAAAATGGATATGGTTTAACAGAGGCGTCTCCTGTTGTTGCTTGCCGATGGCCAAATTCTAATGTAAGTGTTGTCTCCTCTGAACTGTGAAACCTTTCACCTAATTGTCTGCTCTGATTAGCAATGCGAGTATCATTACCAATTATTCTCATGTTTGAACCGTTTCAAAAGAGATGATTTTGTCAGAAATAAATATGAACATCCAAAAAGTTGTACAATTTCTGACAGTACCATATAGCGTCTAGGCAAAACTATCCGTAGTATAAGAAGCCGAAGCCTGCTCTCTCTCATCTTTTCCTCTGCATGCATGAATAGTGACTAATGAGTGGACAATCATATATTAGCCACAATTAAACTAAGTCAATATCATGAAAAATACAAATATAATGTTGGCAGGTCATTGGATCAATCGGATTTCCCTTGGCGTACACAGAAATAAAAGTTGTAGATGTTGAAACGGATGAGGTCCTCCCCCATGGTTCTAAAGGCCTTGTCAAAGTCAAGGGACCACAGGTCATGAAGGGCTACTACAAGGTTAGTGGAATTGTGCATTTGAGCAATGTTTTCTTCGTCTTACCCGTCACCTCTTATTGTCCTGTCATGTGTGTTTCCTTTGTAAACTTCTTATATATTTTTTGTTTTTCCATAACAGCATTGAAAAACACGGTCATATTTACTTGCCTTTTTAAAATGTTGTAAATATAGAACACTATTTATTTCAACATTTGAAATTAATCTCTCTCCTTAACTTGTTTCGTAATTGTGAGCATTGCATTGTTGTTCAGAATCCAATGGCTACAAAGCAAGCTATTGATGAGAACGGATGGCTAAATACTGGTGATCTTGGTTGGATAGTTCCTCATCATTCTGTTGGGCGATCTCGGAGTGCTTCAGGTGTTATTGTTCTTGAAGGTCGTGCAAAGGACACTATAGTCCTTTCATCAGGTAATGGTTAAACTCTTATTACTCGTGCGCAATCTATCATAATCGAAAACCACCAATTTTGATATATGTCATATCATCTAGTAGTAGAAATACAATTGTGCATGAGTATCGAATTTGAAGTGAAATCTTCCATTAGTTCCATAAATTTTATGAAAAAAAAAACTTCTGTATGCGTTAGGTGAAAATGTTGAACCGTCTGAGATTGAAGAAGCTGCAATGTGTAGCAATATGATTGAGCAGATTGTTGTCATTGGGCAGGCATGCAATACTTATTTATCTTTTATTTAATGTATACCACATTTGAAACTCAGCTTGTTCATTTGAACGCATTGACCTGTAAAATGTAGGATAAACGGCGCCTTGGTGCTATTGTTGTACCAAATAAGGAGGAGGTTCTTTCTGCAGCAAAAAAACTTTCAGTTATTGGTTCTGATGCCATAGAAGTCAACAAGGAGAAAATAGCTAGCCTCTTACATGAAGAACTAAGAAAATGGTAACAGTCTTGTATTTTGTAGGTCTATTAGCAGAAAAAAGTGCTCAACACAGCTAACCAAAGTTATCTGGTGTTTCATTTATTGAAATGCAGGACGACGGGTTGTACATTTCAAGTTGGGCCTCTCCTTGTCATTGATGAGCCTTTTACGGTATCTTTTCGTCTTCTGAGCTACATACATTTCCCAACCACTTCCCTTTTCTCAGACATTTTGATTTATTATGGCTGTGCAGGTTGAGAATGGTTTGTTGACACCCACTATGAAAGTTAAGAGAGACAAAGTAGCAGACTTGTACAAAGAGCAAATAGACAGTCTATACATTTGACTTGCCTTAAACTTTTTGCATTTGCATACTACTTGATGTAATAACTAAACAGGTGCTTTGCAGGGTTTCTCTTGATTTTTTGGTTTCTTATGAAATGCAAGGTGTTTATTTGTAAAAGATCACTAAGGTGGTGTTCAATATGTTTCATCGAGTCAAGTAGTTTTTTTGCGGAATCCTATTATATACCATTGAATTTTTGTGAATTTGGAATTTTGGACAAATTGTAGTGGAGTTCTTTTGTATAAAACCAATATAGAAACAATGTTTTTATGGATTTATCACAACTTCATGATCAAAGCATATGAAAAGAAATGTAAACACGGGAAGCAAAGTCACTCGCCAAAAAAGGTTAGATATTTGAGATCCAACTGCATCATCATTTGATTCTATAGGAAGACATTTATGCTATATAAATTTATAAGTTTATAACTAATGCGAATCATTATGATGCAATGAGGTGCTGGGAAATTTTCTAGACTAATAGGTTTAAGTTCAATTGGAGCCATTGTGGCATTATCTTTCTTCTCTTATTGCTCTTTTTTTGCATTTTCCTTTTTCATGATGAAATATATTCCCTGTCCCAAAAAAAAATTCTCATTTTAACTTTGATCGGAGTTTAAGAAAGTGGGAATAAAGTAAAATTGTATGGTTGTGGTTGAGTACGAAAAAGGTAAATGAATGATAGACACACAATCCTTTCCAAAAAGGGAAGATTTTTTTGGGACGGACCAAAAAGGTAAGTGGGAAGAATTTTCAGGGACGGAGAGAGTATAGATAAAAGTTTTATACAGAATTTGATAATCAAAATCTTCCATCAATTTTCATCTCCCATTTATGTCGGTATGTGGCATATCCTCTTTATTAATTGGTTTGATGTAATACTCCGTACTAATTAGCTTCGCTTGGGTAACAGACTTGTAGAATGGAGCTAGGCAGTCATGCGCAGAATACTCATTAAATTACAAGGTTTATTTCGAACAACATGGCAGGCAGTGCCAGCAAATATTCCATTCGTGGGCTAACAAGCCTTCATTATTCTTGGCATAATAAGCTATAACTCTATAAAATAACAAAATATAATATGGTACATGCTTTTAAATCCAGATATCAGAAGTGCAGTCACCCCCAGGATACCTCATTTCATGAGCCAATGCTGGACCATCAGGTTCAGCTCCAAAGTCAACGAAGAAGTTTGGGTTGACGGAAAGTCCGCCTTTTTCAGTGTCCACATCAATCTGTATAATGTGGGACCCTTTCTCCACGAGCTCTGGATAGAATTGCTTGTCCCATGTGCTGTACAGCGAGTTAGTCGCGTATAGCCTTTTCCCATCAAGACTCAACTGTATCATCTGCGGTCCTCCCCTCAACTTGTTTCCCTGGAATGTGTTCCCAATATCTTGAGTTAGGCTCTATTGATTTTCTATCAGTATGGTTTAAATCAACCCATATCATTTTTTTGCAACATGGTTTGTAATTATTATAGCTTTTTTTGTAGGAGTAAAAATGTCAAAGTACCTGAACATCTGGGACATCAACCTGGAAGGTTGTACCATCTTCCGCTTCTGCGACTACAGCGCTTCCTTTTCTAATCAACCCACCCACCCAGACTTGCCCCGCCAGCTTTGGCTTTGCTGGTTCTTCAATGTTATACTGCCTAATGTCACCATGCAGCCAATTGGCCAAGTAAAGAAAACGGTCATCCAGAGAGATCAGAAAATCAGTGATCAGTCCGGGCATTTCAGGAAGAATCCAATTTTGCACCTTCAATGATTTTACTGACTCTGCTACCTGCAGTGGTTTGGTATTTTTGTATCACGTATAAACATATAATTTACACTTAAGCTTCCACCGAAAAGGTGAGCCCATGATAGGTGAAATAACTTTATCTCATATGTTGGTTTGTAATTCCATATTTTTAGGCGATCTTTAACACTATAGTCTTAACAGTAATAATGTATTTATGTAAATGTGTAATAAGGTGAGAAAAGCCAGGGCACAGTCCACTGTATGGGTATGATTTTTGGTACCAGCCGCGGCACAAGACAATGATTAGACATTTTTGGTACCTATCATGGCCCTTGCGGGATGTAGTGCTGAGGGTTCACCTATCATAGTGCTTCAAAAACTTTATACCTCATATGATTTTTATTTTGTTGTTTTATTTAATATTTAACGTACCAGAAAGATAGTGACTAGTAGGATTCGACTTATTGTGTTTTTAAAAGTCTTGGTTAAATTTTTTGCTCATTTGAGCTCAATTGGATTTTATAATGCGTAAATACTCGGGGTTTTACCATAAAAAGTCAATAAGAGTGCCTAATGAGTGACTTGACACATACAGCTCAATGGTTTCACAATTATTGGCATACGAATATTCGGCTTTTAAGTTTACCTCATGGCTCCAAGAATCGTCTGGATTCTTAAAAAAACGCACCATGTTGCTAGTCAATGCACACCCCACGAACCCAGTTGCTTCGGATGGATCATGGAGGAATCTTATCTGCCACACATTCAAACTGAAAAGTTATACAAAATGAAAATGAAGAAAGGGGTGAAAAAGATGAATCTTATATTTACCTCCAAGGGTAGAAGCCCAGTATTGCCGAGATCAAGTGTCTGTTTCAGTTCACCATCAGGCCAACTATAGACATGCAAATGGCGACCATAGAGCCCATCAGAAACATGCTGAGGATCAAAGCCTTTGGTGAAGGCCCTGGGAGCTCCCCAAGATGAGCTAATCATTGTCTTGTGCCGCGGCTGGTACCAAAAATCATACCCATACAGTGGACTGTGCCCTGGCTTTTCCCACCTTATTACACATTTACATAAATACATTATTACTGTTAAGACTATAGTGTTAAAGATCGCCTAAAAATATGGAATTACAAACCAACATATGAGATAAAGTTATTTCACCTATCATGGGCTCACCTTTTCGGATGGAACATATGTCTTACTAAGTTACTATTGCATCATATTCATTCCGACAAAAACTGTGATAAGGGCTCACCGGCTCACCTATCATGGCCCTTGCGGGATGTAGTGCTGAGGGTTCGTTCCCTTATGAAAAATGATCAAAATTAAAACGGTCAACCTGATGCGCCAGGCCGTTAGGACGAAAACAGTCATTTTATTCAAGAACTTTTTTGTAACAAAAAAGAGTCCGGTTTTAGAAGTCAAATTTCATTTTCAAGTAGAATACTAGTAAAGCCAGGCTGCAACCAGATCTATTCAATTACTCCAAACATTTTTAGTGTAAACTTTAGGAGTATATAATATAAGTGATCATTCACAACTTGTAAAAGCATAACCCCTACTAAAATATTCTTTTTGGGACTGGGCAAGTACGTGAGAGGGGATAATAAAATCTGAACTATGCAAAAAGACTAGTTATAACAAAAATAAAGAATAGGAGGCAAGAAAATAATGTCTTTTTTCTATAAAGATGATTTTAGCACATGTAGACTACCTTCCTTTCACATTGAAATTGGAATCAAGCAGAAGAAATCCATTCCCCTCAGCATTTCCATCTTTATCACCAAGGCATGACAGCATGATGTCACCGGAAGCAAGGCAGTGAGCAGTATGTGGATAGGCTAAACCAGTCTTCTTTACAATCTCATCTGGCTCTACAACTTTATGTACACTGGGAGCTTTTGGATCCTTTAATGTGTCAATTGCATATATGCGCCCGGATCTGAAAACATTAAAAAATTCTCTCAAATGCAAACAAATGCAGAGTGTAGATTCTTCTTGGTTCAAATCTCAATCAACACCACGGATCTTTAGAGAAGTAATGGCCATACTAATTAATATAGACAGATCAGAAGCCTAGTAAGTTATACCATTACTAGTTATTATATAAATATACTTGGAATTTATTTACATAAAAAAATATAAATATACTTGGAAACAACTAGCACAAAGTAAATAAGAATCTTGTAAGACAGCAGAGGAGGCAGGCCAGTTACATGAGTGAAGGCAAGACAAGATATCGACGAGAAGCAGTTGGGTCACCAAAGCAAGAGCTGCAGGAATTCCATCCAGAATGATGTAGTTCATCACCTATATAAGGCATTGGTAGCCTGTGGATCACTTTAGAATATGTTGGCGAATTACTATCAACATCAACAGTAGCCAAGTAATCTGGCTTCTCCCTTCCTGTTCCTGCAATGATGAACATACACAAAAATTTCAGCATATAACAATTTAAATTGTCTCTTTGTGCTTTAGTACAGGGGTAATGTTGTTGATGATGATGATGTGTGTGTGATAGAATTTAAGATTGGATTGAGATGGTTGATCAAGGACATAAAGCACTTGGGCTACTCCAAAGGACACACGTGCCACGGTGGTGTTAAGATCCACAGATAATATTTGTCTAGTCGGGTCCGGGATAGACATCAGATTCCACTTGCAATGAAAGCGGCCCAGAACTGCTTTAATGCTAAAAGAAAGAATTCAATCTATTGGCTAGTTTAACCCAATGATTTATTATCATTTATCTGTTCTTTTGTTTGATGTGGGACCATACAATGTGCGTGCAGTTTGCCTGTATTCGAATTATATATAGAACTCTTAGTTTGGAGCTTCTGCATTTCTCAATATAATGTATTCAAAATATCAACATTTTGAAATGGTACATCTCAAATTTCTGCTTAAGTACTAAGTGAACATCAGTAACAACTGTTCAGCTCAAAATGCTAAGGGTATGTTTGGGAGTTTGGAGGAAAGGGGAGGGAAGACTTTGAAGGTATGTTGTTGGAGGGGAAAGGGAGGGGAAGGTGAGGAAACCCTTCTTGGTATTTGGGAGTAATAAATTTGGAAGAAGAGAGTTTTTGAAGGAATTATAATTAAAATCACCTTGAGATATGACAAATTCAAATAATTTAGTTGATATTCATTTTAAATTAGGCTTAAATTATCATTTCATTAATTACTCTTCAAAACTCTTCAAATTGGGAGAACTTAAAAATTGAGAACTTAAAAATTGAGAACTTAAAAATTGAGCATTTAGAGCCCGTTTGGTAGCACCAAAATCGGCTGTTTTGGCTGATTCTGCTGAAATTTATGATATTCTGGCTGGAGTGGCTGTTTTGGCTGATTCTGCTGATTTAAGAAAAAAATATTTTAAAATATATTTTATTAATAAATTAAAGAAAAAATTATATGTAAAAATAGCTAAAATGGTCCTCTACAGTAACTTCAGCCAATACAGCCAGAAAAGTAACTTCAACCTTACTTTTTCGGCTTATTACACAATTCAGCGCGCGAAAGTAAAAGTTACGTGTTTGGTGAAAAAGCTGGCTGATAAGCCGAAAACAGAGTTCTCCAAACGGGCTCTTAGAGGGTTTTGGGGGGTTACAAAAGCCCTCCGAAACCAATTTCTTTAACTCCCAAACATGAAAAGAAGGGTCATAAACCCCCATAAACCTTCCCCTCCCCTCCAAAACCCCAAGGGTATGTTTGAGAGTTTTGAGGGAGGGGGAAGAAGAAACCATCCCCTTCAATTTCATAAACTCCCAAACATGAAAAGAAGGGTCATAAACCCCCATAAACCTTCTCCTCCCCTCCAAAACCCTAAGGGTATGTTTGGGAGTTTGGAGGGAAGGGGAGGGGAAGACTTTAAATGTATGTTGTTGGAGGGGAAAGGGAGGTGAAGGTGAGGAAACCATTCTTCGTATTTGGGAGTAATAAATTTGGATTTTGGAAAAAGAGGGTTTTTGAAGGAATTATAATTAAAATCACCTTCAGATATGACAAATTCAAATAATTTAATTGATATTCATTTTAAATTAAGCTTAAATTATCATTTCATTAATTACCAAAAGCCTTCCAATTGAGGAATTTAAAAATTGAGCATTTAGAGTGTTTTGGGGGTTACAAAAGCAATCTAAAACCATCCCTTCAATTTCTTTAAACTCTCAAACATCAAAAGGAGGGTCATAAATCCCCATAAACCCCACACACCCTAAGGAAGTGTTTGCAAATGCTTTTGATTAAAAAAACACTTTTTTGAAGTGATTTTGAAAAGTGATTAGTAGTAAAAGTTGATAGTTTTTAAGAAAAAAGTGATTTTGAAAAGTAAAAGTTGGTAGTGTTTGGTAAAATAAGTGCTTTTAATAGAAAAAGTAAAAAGCATTTTTCACACAAAAGCCGAGAAACGCTTTTTTAAGCAGAAGTTGTCACTTGAAAACACTTTTTTTAGCTTTTTTAAGCCAAAAGCCGAAAAGCGTTTTTTTAAGCAGTTGCACACACTCCCTAAGTGTATAGAAGGTAAAACTTATTCAAAATATCAGTAACAACTGTTCCACTCAAATGTCTGGTTTAACTCTAAGTTTACAATGGTACATCTCAAATTCCCTTGAGTCAAACAGATAGAGAGGACATACATAGAAAAATGTTCAAAACCAGGTAAAATCTAATTGCAATGCCAAGCTAAGAAACACTAACATGCCAATTCATAGGAGCTCACTATTTCTACCAAACTAGTAGATGAAGGCAAATATCCAATGATGTAAAGACTACTTATGCTGCAGAACCAGGGATAGTTAACAGCTTATATAAAGGTTCATTATAAGCAATTAGGGACTCTTTGGTAATAGGACATTAAAAGGGTGTTTGGAATTGATTCTATTTTTTTAAGAAGTGGAATCAGAATTAGTTTTCACAATATATTTTTTTGTGCACTCTCACACAAACACTCAAATATCTGTTCCTCTAAGAAACAGATCCAAACACCCGCTAAAATAGAACCTTGATTCTTATACACAATTCTTTGATAATACTTTGGTGTGCCTAAGGTATACCAAAGTAGTTTTGGCTTTTGGTTCCTATGGTATAGAACTTGACTAAACAAAACCCGTTCTTTAAAAATTAGAATCTCATCTTTAGCACAAAACTAGGATATCCACCGCGCACCAGTTTCAATACCCAACAAAAAGGAATTGAAGTGAAAGGCGTGGATGAAATATTACTGACCTGAATAGACGCAGGTGACATAAATAAGGGACTCCTCAGGACCTTTCATGGCTTCCATAGGACTGGCATACCCCGGACCTCTCTTGCAGCACCCACCGGCGCCGACCACTCCGGCGTGCTCCACCGCTGCTGCCACATCCGTAGCCATCCTCGCTTTTCCGTCGGAGAAATTGAACCAGACAAAAAAAAAAAAAGACGGCCCGGAAGTCAAAGGTAAAGAGTAGGTGAGATGAACTGCGTGAGTGTGTTATCAGGACGCCCCAGGCCGGCCGGAGTTTGTTGATTTATTACTGCGATAAAAGATAAGCTTCGTCTTCCTCAGCTCCTTATATTTATAATTTATAAATAAAAAGAGTGGCGGTTTAACTTAGCTAATCGTGTTTTATCCGTATCTGGACGTCCTGTTGTTTGTGGGTCTGTTGCAGTAACTTTGCGTCTAGGAGGGATGAACCTGGAGTCCTCTTCCGCCAATACAATCACAATTCACACCACAGCCTATAAACAACAATTGACAAACGTAACATACTTTTCTTAAATATATTTATAGATTTTTCAAAAAAAGAAAAATATTTATATATTCATATATTCTACTTTGAGTACATTTTATTTGTTAATGCATTAGAGAATTATTTTTATAAAAGTATTGTTACACTTTGTCACATTGTAAATTTTTAGTAAATAAATTTTTTATTTTTTATAATAGATAATTAAATATATTAATGATCAAAATTATGCATTAACAAACGTGAAAATATGACTGATACATTTATTTAATAACGGATGTAATATTTGTTTTGTTTGTGACAGGAAAAAAATCTTCCTGAACCATGTAAAAATGTGTACAAAAGTGAAGCGTGAACAAAAGGTTATTTCGGTTATAAATTATCGAGAAAAACAACGTAAATTGCAACGTTGGGAGAAATGCCTAACACCTATATACTAATATATATTTTTCAGTTTTCTTTTATGTTTCCGGTTCTCCAATTTTATGTTTTAATTTTTCAAATTTTCTATGCTCAATTTAAGTATGTAAATTCATTCCAGCAACACTGCATCATCCACGTATTTCAAATTTGAAAAACTAGCAAATTCACTCCTCCAATACACTATTATTATTATTATATTATTATTATTACTAGTAATCACATCGTATTTAAAAGATCACTACATTATGTCTTGACATAATATTTAAGGGAGAAATAGTAGGGGTAATGATGGACAGTGTACCCGGGGGGTAGCTTATCCGATGGGTTATTGCGGGAAATAACTTAGAGAGAAGTCAGAGCAAACAAGTAGGAGAGAGAGGCGATTATATTTATGAACTCGAGATGTCCTGGTCCTTTACAATGGGAAAAGGGGGTGCTATTTACAGTAGTAATAAATGCGATGAGAGTACATGTGGCGATAATCTAACGGCCAAGGGGTCACCTCAATCGAGTGGCACTGGCAGTCGCATGTGCACCGCATTGAATGCGGTGGGTGGATGTGACGTCGCATTAAATGCGGTGGTTGCTTGTTTCCAAAGGGAATCTTCGATGATTGAGTCGGTGGCCGAGGGCTCCCCCTGCGGCCGAGGGCATGTGTAGCCGAAGGCATCGTACAGCCGAAGGTTTCCCTGATGCCGAAGGCATCAAAGTGCCGAAGGCTCCTGGTAGCCGAGGGCTACCGTTTTACGTCGTTTTCTTCCGGCAGCTTAGTGCACTTAAATCTGGCTGCCCTGTGTATTTTGGAGCCTTCGGCCAAGGAGACCGAAGGCACCCCAGTGTGTTTTTAGGCTTCTTTGAGACATGGGCCGATGTATTTGGGCTTCGAATGCTCCTTGGGCTCAATGGGCCTGTGTAGGAGAAGTAGGAGTCTATGGGCCAGGGGTCCCTGGGCCATATACTCCATCAGGTAACAGGGCCGGTCCTGAGAAAACGGAGGCCCTGTGCAAGAATAAAACTTGGGCTTTCCTTTCTTACGCAAATAAAAATAAAATATAAATAAAAATGATAATAGTAAAAAATACTGATAATTTGTGTTAAATTAAAACTTTTAATTTTGCTGGGCTAATTAATTGGGCCAATAAAAATGCAAAACACTAGACTACTAATAAATACTAGTACTAATTTTTTTTGGGGGGGGCCTTCATTTTTTCAGGCCCGGTGCGGTCGGACTGCTCACTCCCCCCAAGGGCCGGCCCTGTCAGGTAATATAATGAATATTGCTGAAAAAGTAGGAAATAAGATGAAAAATTAGGAAACGGAAGATACAAAGTAGAACAAGTAAGGGTAATTGGGTATTTTAAAAAAAAAAACTCATCAAAAAATATACCAAACTTTTAAATACATCTCCATTAGGAAAGTATTATTATTATAAATATTATTATTATTATTACTTTCTATTATCATCATTATCCTGACATCATCATCGTCATCATCATTATTATTATTGTTATTTTTATTATTAATTTAATTAAATATCAATATAATATGTGTGGGTCCAATAAAATATATATTCCATTAACGAGCATCGGTCCTGTTAGAATTAGAACTCATTGATAATAAAGACTTTCATTATAATTGAGAAACTAATTTAGAACTAGTATAAATACATTATGCTACTTCATAGTGTAGAAACCTCAAGTTAAGGATAAAACACCTTATCAAATACTCCCTCCGTCCCGCTAACAATGGGACAAGAGGGAGCGACATGCAAATTAACCAAAATTGGTTTAAATGATTGATATTAAATTAATAAAGTAAGAATAAAATAAGAATGATTTAGAGCCACACAAACTTTGCCAAATTTGGTATGTGACAATCTTAGTGGAGCGGACAGAAATGACAAAATGGGACAATCTTAGCGGGACGGATGTAGTAATTATTTGTTTAATTCATATATCATCATTTAAGATTGGGAAAACTGTCAAATAGGTCCTCGAACTTTCATAAAAAAGTCAATTAAGTCCTTCTATAGAAGATTCTGTTCGGCGGTCGCGATTTAGGGCGGTTCCCGGTGGAATTTTTTGATGAATTTTTTTGAGTATCTTATTCATCAAGTCTAGTTTACTCATACCAAATTTTAGCTAAAAAATCGATCGGGAACACATTCAAATTAATTCGAGAACGCAAAAATGCGCAGTTATCTTCATGAATTAATTTGAATGTGTTCCTGATTGAATTTTTAGCTGAAATTTGGTATGAGTAAACTAGACTTGATGAATACGATGCTCAAAAAATTTCATCAAAAAATTCCACCGGGAACCACCCCAAATCGCGACGTCCGGACAAAATCTCCTATAGAAAGACTTAATTGACTTTTTTATGAAAGTTCGAGAACCTATTTGACAGTTTCACTTTAAGATTTCTCTTTTGGGGAGAAACCTTTGAGAAGCAAATGGGTTTATAAAAGCCGGTCTGATAGCCCTCGTTTGGATTATAGCAAATTGAGCAAACCGCTGTTTAATTCCAATACCAAAACGCTGTAAAATGCAGTGATTAGCTAGCAACCCACTAAAAACAAACGATGTCATAGTCTTGGTGAATTATCAGACCGAAGGACTGAATTGTACAAATATTTTTGTGCCTAAGGCAAAAATAGTCAATGCTCGGGCCTTTTTTACTATGGCAGCTTTAAGAAAAGAGAACTTCATCAAATACTCCCTCCGTCCCAAAAACAATTTCTCATTTTCCTTAAATGGACGTCCCTAATTAACTTCCTACTTCAATACTTTCCTTATTTGCCAAATTATCTACATCAAAAAAGTGACAAACAGTGTCAAACAGTGTTCAAATAGTGTTTGAACAGTGCAAAATTTGTGCACCCAACAGTAAAGTCAAATTTATTTTATTAATCTGTGTGATTGTCAAACTGTGAAAGTTGTTTTTGGGACGGAGGTGTTGGGGTATCACGTAGGGGTATATATTTACAATGCATTCTTACATAGTGGATTTGGATGAAGAGGGATATACAATCTTATTGGAATTATTCTCTTTTTACCTATACTAATGGTGTTCTTTAAATTAATGATTGGGTCTATGTTGATGATATTATTCTTTAACGTAATGATTCTCTGAAACTAGCTCATTGCTTGGCATATCCGAACAATTGTTTTGGATATCAAGTGTATTCAAATATGTTTATGGCATCGAAGTGGTTCTTAGTTATGTAGATTTATACCTCTGCCAATGAAATTATAACTTAAGTTAGTTAAGTATTGTCGGGTAGTGTTGCACCATCCTATGTTTCTACTACTCTCCAATTGGTCTATTTATTCACAAAAGATCTATCCAAAAACAGTTCGATGTTTTACTTGGGATGTTTTCTTTTCGACTGAAATTTGCTGGTCTGGTTTGGTCTGATATGATCTGGTCTGGTCTGTTTAAGTCTGAACTGGTCTGGTCTGGTCTGGTCTGAATTGGTCTGGTAAAAGTCTGGTCTCTATGTATTTTATAACTGTCAAAGTCTGGCCTGGTCTGGTCTGGTCTGTTTAAGTCTGGTCTGTTCTAGTCTGGTCTGGGACTGAAAACAGTCCAAAAGAAAACATCCTTAGGCATTTGTACTTTACGGGTATGTTTGGCAAAAAGCTGACTGTTTGATTTAGTTCGATTTGGTGTAAAAGCTGTTAGGACAAATTAATATTAAAAGTCACGAGCTTTTCTCAGATGTTACGCTCGGTAGCATCTCAAAAAAGATCTTTTAATTTTTGAATAACTCTTAAAAAATGTCATGTCAAACATACAACTAGAGTCTTTTAAGATCTTTTTAAAGAAAAGATAAGCTAGAAGGCAGAAGCTTTTGTGTGCCAAACATAGCCTACATGCACCGCGTGACTTATATTCGAGGTATTTAAATTTTCATAGAAAAGTAATTATACTTTCCTTGTTTAATATAGGAAGGTAATCATTTATTTTATTGTTGTTAATCTCTTCCTTTAATTTATGAAGATATATCTTCGTATTGTTAAATAAACATTTAACATTAAGTTTCTATCGGGGGTGTTTCGTAAGGTAGATTCTATGGTACCCAAAAGGTATCATACCTTTGTTCACATGGACCAATCAAAATGATGCAGTTGAATTATTTAAATCTAAATTTTAAAGAGTATAATGATTTGGACCAATCAAAAACATGATAGATACGACACCTCATTTTTTAAATGAGTACTGGAGTTGTCACCGTTTCGTAATTGGTTGTTGCGGTTGGCTGTTGGTTGATTATGTTGGCTGATTCATAACAGCAGATTCTGTTGACTATTTTGATTAGCTGATATTATTAGCAGTTCTTAAAACGGTGTTTGGTTAAACGGCGGTTTATAATCAGCTAATAACTTGTTA